AGGAATAGGAGCAGGAGGAGCAGGAGCAGGAGGAGCAGGAGCAGGAAGAGCAGGAGCAGGAATAGGAGCAGGAGGAGCAGGAGCAGGAGTAGCAGGAGCAGGAGTAGCAGGAGCAGGAGGAGCAGGAGCAGGAGGAGCAGGAGCAGGAGCAGGAGCAGGAGCAGGAGGAGGACGCAGCCAGGCCGGCGCAGCTAGGGCGCACGCCCCACACCCCGCGCTCCGGGGCCATGGAGGAGCTCACCGCCTTCGTCTCCAAATCTTTCGACCAGAAGAGCAAGGAGAACGCGGGCGTGGGCGGCGGCGGCGTGGGCAAGAAGGACTCCATCACCTACCGCGAAGTTCTGGAGAGCGGGCTGGCGCGCTCCCGGGAGCTGGGCGCGGCGGACGCGGGGCTGCAGGACGTGCAGGACGGCGGCGGCGGTGGTGGCGGGGGCGGCCACTGCGCCGTGCATCTGTTCAAGGACCACGGGGAGCTGGACAAGGAGAAGCTCAAGGACTTCAGCGCGGGCAGGGGCGCGGTGGAAGGTGAGGGTTCCGCGCCGGTTCCGGCTGGGTCCCCACTCCCCAGGCCCGGAGCAAGGGGGACCGCAGCGGTGCTGCCCCCCACTCCCACCTCCGGGCCAGGTCCTCGGGGCCCTCGCGCACGCAGGGGGGAGCAAGAAGGGGCCCTGGCCTGGCCTCGCCCAGCCTTGCCTTCCACCCCCAACTCCTGCTGCGGCCAGCGGGCAGGCGAGCAGCTACATCTGGAGAGGACAGGCCTGGGCCAGCGATGGCCGGGGTTTTCGTTAGGAAGGAGCAGGAGCAGGAGCAGGAGCAGGAGCAGGAGCAGGAGGAGGCCACGGGGCGCAGAGAGCCGGGGCCGGGGCGGGGAGCGCTGGCATTACAGGGCCCCACTGGCCCGGCCTCAGGCGCACTTCTGGTCCCCACAGCACGAAGTTTCTCAGGCCAGGCTGGGTCCCCAGGACCTGTCTGAAAGGGTGGAAGTGCTGCAGTGGGGTGTGTCTGTCTGTCTGTCTTTCTTTCTGGCTAGCACACGCTTCACTTATCTCTCCCGATGGGGGCCTGGCTCCCCTGAGTGAGGACTGGCAAGGACCGGGGGGCCCAGGCCCGGCTGGCCGGAGAGGGTGAGGTCCTGCTTCTCTGGGTCCCGTTGTCGGGAAGAAAAACTTTGCCCTCGAACCTGGAGACTCGAGGTTGGGTTTACAAATTAAAACCACTTGTGTGCCCGCGGGTGGCCGGCCGGGGTCTGCTCGGGAAGGAGGACCCCCTCCTCCTCCTCCTCCTCCATCTCCTCCTGGGCCTCCTGGGCTCACGCCTCGGCTGACCTTGGAGCCGGGGCTTGGGCCACATCGGTGGGCGGGGGGCCGCAGCCCGGGGTCTCCTTGGAGATAACTTTCAGGCATCAGGTGATTAGACATCTGGAGTCACCGTGCAGGACGCCGTTTGTGGGGTAGGATTTTTATGGCTTCCCGCCCAGCTCAGAATGGGGTGTCAGTTCCCGGTTCGAGCCGGGAACCCCGTCTTGGGCTTCCTCTGCGACCTGTGGCTGGGGTATCCAGCTGCAGGCTTGGGGTTTGTGGGAGCAGAGCCGGCGCACAGAGAGGACCCCGGGGACTGCGAGGTCCCGGCTCCGTCCCTAAGCCTCTGCGCCCCTGGTGCTGGGACCCACAAGGAAGAGATTTGCTGGGGCGAGCGGAGGAGCCCGGGCTGCGCTCTCGCGGGCCTGCGCCCCCTCTCAGAGCCTCTTGCACGGGGCACCCTGCGCGGCAGGACCCACCCGAGGCCTGAGCTTCTCCGGCCGGCTTCTGGCTCCCGGGACAGCCCGGAGGTGCCACCGGGAAGGCCAGCAGGGCGCTGTGCAGGGGGAGCTTCGTGCTTCCCCTGGGATGAGGGGAGGGGGCTCCACCACCCCCAAGCGCACTTTCCCGGCAAGGCCTGGGCCGTTTGGAATCGCGGAGACCCTCCCCACACGGCCAGGGCTGCGATTCCGAGGCGCGGCGGAGGACGGGAAGGCCTGCTCTGCCTGGGCCGGGACCCCAGGTCCCACTTGGAGAGGGCAGGGATAAACAGCAGAGCAGGTCCGCATGAGGACAGGGTCACGGCAAGGCACGCAGACGAGCCGGCTCCTTCCTTTCAGGCGGGGAAGGGAGGCATTTAAAATGCCGCTTGGCCGACGGTGCCTGTCCCCGCAGGCCATGAGGGGACAGTGTGGGGAAGACAGGGCCGGGGCGGCTGACGGGAACCAGGTCAGGGCCCGAGCCTGGGTTCTCTGGTCTGCTGAGCCCTCCACGCCCGCCGCCGAGCTGGAAGAGACCGCTGAGGCCGTGCGCAGCCCCAGACATCACAGCTCAGGTCGCGCCTCCTTAAGAGGCCTCTTATCTGTGACCCCGGGGACCTCTAGCTAGGGCAGGGGGTGCTCTACGCGGCAGGGGAACATCGTGGGTGTAGGGCTGCAGCTGGCACCGCCCCGGGCGCCTGGGACACCTGGGGAGCGGTTTACGAAGCCTACAGCTGGGCCTGGAAGCGTTTACACAGCGGAGGCCCAGAAACCTCCGGGTGGGAAGCCCAGCAGTACAGACTTTCTGTTTTGCGTTGAGCCTAAACCTCCCCATTCTCCCTCCGGGCAGACGGGATGAGCCCCTGAATTGTGGAGGTCGGAGAGCGCTGGGTCTGGGCTTCCCGGGGGTGCTGGCGTGGGGAGGGTGCCGGATTTCCTGAGGGGCAAAATTGGACCCCGGGACCTCTAGACTCAGAGCTCACCGCTGCGTGCAGTGTGGCTGTCAGGCCGTGAGCTGGGGCAGGACCCAAGGAGCCCGGCGCTTACAGGGCCCGGGGCCGGCCAGCCGCCAGCAGGGAGGCCTCGTCTCTCTCCGGGAGAGGGGACAGCGGTTTGCCTTGGGTCCACACACACGGGCAATTCTTCCTATGTTCCTTTGCCTTAAAAATAATATTTAACACCGCTTGCCTTCCAAAAAAAAAAAGGTTAGGCTGTGTCAACAGAGGCGAAGTGGATAATTGAGGAAACGCTGCAGAGAGGAGGCCAAGAAATACCGCGGCGGGGGTTCTCACGCCGGAGAGGGGTGTGGGTCCCGGTGGAGCGTGTGTCCCCTCGCCGGAGCGAGTGTGTGAGTGCGTGTGCGTGTGCGAGGGGCTTGACTCGGGCTCGGGGAAAAGCGCACAGCCCGCGGGCAGGGCTCGGGGCGGGGTCGCGGGCCAGGCGCCGAGACACACGGGGGTTGGGGAGCCCGGGGCGGGCCACGCCGGGCTGGGGTCTCAGCTCCACGGCCTGCGTCCCCCGCCCGCCCCGCAGGGATCTACGACTGCAAGGAGAAGCGTGAGGACGTGAAGTCGGAGGATGAGGACGGCCAGACCAAGCTGAAGCAGCGCCGGAGCCGTACCAACTTCACACTGGAGCAGCTCAACGAACTGGAGCGGCTGTTCGACGAGACCCACTACCCCGACGCCTTCATGCGCGAGGAGCTGAGCCAGCGCCTGGGGCTGTCGGAGGCGCGCGTGCAGGTGAGCAGGGCGGAGGGGCCGGGCCGGCGTTCCTGCACCCTGGGCCCTCGGGTCCCGCGTCGCGGGCGGGCTGTTCGGCGGGGGTCTCGCCGTGCACCCCACGCGCTGCCCTCGGGACAGGGTCGCCCCGCAGGGCCGGGCTGTCCCAGAGCCGGGGCTCCCTTTCGGGTTCCTCTGTCCTGCGAGGTGGCCTTCCCAGCTCCCCAGAGTCCCCACTCTCTGCTGGAGCGCACAGGCTGAGGGATGGGAAGGGCCCTGCGTGCACACACAGATACACACACTGTCACACACACTGTCACACACACTCTCACACACACACGCTCACGCGGGGGGCATCTTGATCTGGCCGGGGCCACCGCCCGCCCGGGGCCGGATTAACGCGGGGTCTTGGGCACTGTCTCTCCAACGGGTCCCAGGGGAGTGCGCGGATTCACGAGGCTCCATCTGGCGCCCTTCCGCAGAGGTGGGGGCCTGGAGTGGGCGGCCGCGCAGAGCCAGGCCTGGGCTAAGTGTTTTCTGGCGTGCAAACATTTGCTTAAATTGATCAATTTATTTGCTCGGTGTGTGTGACTCTGTGTGTGTGTGACTCTGTGTGTGTGTGTGTTCCAGAGGAGAGGTCGTTGCAGAAATGGGTTTGTCCGTGCGCTGGCCCCTGGGTGGGGGGCCCTGGAGGCTGCCCTTTCTGAGTCCTATTTGTAAGCCCCGCAGAAGGGCTAAGGACAGACAGGGTCGGGAACCTGGTGCCCTGGGGAGCGCAGCTAAGGAAGCGAAATTAATATCGCCGGGCACCGCTCAGACCGGTGCAGGGGGACCAGGTCCCAAAGCAAAAATAAAAGGCCTCCAAGGGGCTGGGAGGTTTGGCCCAGGACTGCTTCATCTGCTCAAAAATTCAAACAGAGCGAGGCCCCAGCTTGACTTGCAGAGCGCAAGCACACGCCAGGCTAGGGCTGGACACCGCTTCGTAAAATCGTCAGTTTTATAGACACGGCGTGTGTGTGTGTGTGTCTCTGTGTGTGTGTGCCGTGGCACAGTAAAAATTAGGCTCCTGTATGATGGAATAAAGACCGGCAAGCCCTGGGTGTCCTGTGCTCAGCAGGGCGGTGACAGCCAGCCGGTCCCGGCTTGTCCCCCACACGGAGAAAAAGCGGGTGCCCCTGCGGGCGGCCCGAGGGAGCCCTTCCCAGGCCGGGTCCCTCCTTCTCCAGCCAGGAAAAGACGCTGGGTGGGCGCACGGGGCCCTGGGCCACCTTGACGCCCTTCTCGGGAAGATGGATTGAGCCTCGCCGTATAAATTAATCAAAAGATTAAACTTTCGCTTTAGGCGACGTCAACTTTTATGTCATCCACTGTCCTCCTGCCAGCGCCGCGCAATAATCTCTCAGGCCTTGATGTACTGCTTCTATAAAAATAAATTACTCGTAATTTAATTCCGCACTATTTCTTTGCAGCAGTCCATTATGGTGTGCAGTAGTACCTTAGCCGGCCAGCCGGGTGCTGAGTTCCGGGAGACCGGTTCCGGGGTGCCCTCAAAGAGAGCGAAGGGCGGAGTGCGGGTGCGTGCAGAGCCCGGTGCCCTCCGGGCCCGGGGCTGGCACCCGTGTGTGTCTGCGTGTGGCTGTGTGTGTGCACGCGTGCCCGCACGCTGCCAAAATGAGATGGATCGATTAGGGGGCAAATTAAAAATTAACGACTGTAAATAATAATAAAAACAAACTCGAGGACGAAGAGCATCAAAGGGGTAATTCGCTCTGGGCCGCGGGGGAGCGAATCCCGTCATAAACGGAGAAGGCAGAGAAGCCTCATAAAAATCAATTAGTGCAGCCGGGTCACGGGCAGAGGGGGCCGGGGAACACGGGCCGGGCGGGAAGTGGCGTCGGGCTCACAGCAAAGGCGGGAGATATCTTTATAGATATATATATATATATTTTAATCCCGTCTCTGAATTGTTCTGCGGATCCTTCCCGGGAAAAGCCTGCCTCGCGCTGTGAGAAGATAGAGTTTCAATTTGGTGTGGAAATTCGGTGTAAATAAATTGAGCGTCCTACGGAACCTGGTCCTTATTAACCTTTTATTTCTGTGTTGTAGTGGAAAGTTATATTACCCAGCTGTCAGGTTATAATGGGGACTTATGGGAGCCGGGTGAGGGGCAGGCGGTAATTTAATTACAACAAATATCTTTGGGTTTATGGCGCACAGCTAAATTAAATGTCATTATTCACTGTCTGTAATGGAAATCAAAAGGAAATCAGATTACACCGTTTGTGAAAGAAATCCGCGCGCGCGGCGGTAATGAAGCCGGGACCGTCGGAACCGCGCCCGCCGGCCGCCGCGCTTAGCATATTCAGGCCTAATTGGAATTGATCGCCAATCACCCCAAGACTGATTTATTAGCGCCGAACGCCGGGGCTAATTCCTCACTTTTATTCCTTACGATTTTATTTCTCTCCGCGCGCCCTCCCCCGTAACGCACACACTTCCTTCCCTAAAAGTGAGCTCTGCTTTCTGTCTGCTTGCTGCATTTCAGTCGGCGGAGTGCTGGCAAAATTAAAATGAGAAAACCGTTCTGAGGAGCGGGAGGAGGAGGAGGAGGGCTGGGAAGGGTCTGGCCTGGCTTTGCGGTGGAGCCCCGACTCCCTCCGGGACGGGAGCCGGCGAAGGCAGCACGGCAGGACCCTGGGGAGCCGGCCAGTTTGCGGAGGAACCGGGGCTGCGCTCCCCGAGTTCTCACCCAGCCCGGGAGCAGGAGGCCTTTTCCGGGTGATTTTGCTGGAAAAGCGGCCAAACTCGGGCGGGCCTCGCCGGGAGGGAAGTTCCCCTCGGCTTCCTGCCTGGGTCCGGGGAGGTTTCCTGAGGCTCTGGGGCTCCTCGGGGCCTGGACGCCGGTGTGGGTGCTGGCCGGCTCTCGTGGCTGGGCAAGGGGCCTGGAGACCAGTTGGGAGGACCCCTGAGGCCCTGCTGGCGTCCACCTGAGGGGCCCAGGCTGGAGCCCGGGGAGCACAGCAGGAGGAAGGCAGAGGAGGCTTGGGGACCCTCAGGTGCCCCCACCGGGCCGGGCCGGGGTCCCCCTCTGCCCACTGCTACTTGCCCTGGTATCAGAGGGCTCCAGGGAGGGCCGGACCTGGATACGGGCGCCCTGGGCCACGGTCTGGACTCCTGGGTGCTAACTCGGGCACCTGTGTGCATAGCCTTCCTGCGCTCAGGCAGCCGGGATGGGGGCGCGGGGCACAGGGGGTCCTGGCGGGCAGAGGGGTCCCGGGATCGGAGGGGCGCCTCCCGCCCGGAGACACCCTGAGCCGCTCCCTTAACGTGGAGCACATGGGGGCCCGGGGCTCGCTGAGCAGACGGAGGGCCCAAGTGCGGCTGACAGTTCCCAGCCCGGTTTGCAGCCAGGTGGGAGGGAGCCGGGGGCTCGGAAGCGGGGCCTGTGGGGGGCCGGGGTCGCGTGGACGTGCGCCCCTCAGCTCTCCTCGTGTCCGCTCGGTCCGCAGGTGTGGTTCCAGAACCGGAGGGCCAAGTGCCGCAAGCAGGAGAACCAGATGCACAAAGGTGGGTGGGCGCGGCGCGTGGGCGGGCCTGGTGCTGGCCGCAGCCGCCGCGCTGACCTTGGCCTCCGTCTCCCCGCAGGCGTCATCCTGGGCACTGCCAGCCACCTGGACGCCTGCAGGGTGGCGCCCTACGTGAACATGGGCGCCCTGCGAATGCCTTTCCAGCAGGTAGCCGGGAGCCGGTGGGGCCTCTCTCCGCGGGACCCCGCGCCCCTCCCCGCCTTCCCCTCCTCCCCGGCGTCTTTCTTCCCTGCCCTCTCAGACTTCTGCCCTGGCTCTCAGAAGAAAGCCCGCTGCTTTTACAAGGGGACATTTATAGGCGCGTTGGCACGTATTAAAACCAGGCCGTAAAACTCCAAGTCACCTTGGAGAACCTAGAAACCCAAACCAAAAAGCGCTTTTACGGGATTGAGAGAGGCAGAAAAAAAAATATCCCACCTACCCAGAACCACCCAGTCTGCTAGGCCGGGGCTCCGAGCCTGTGATCCGCACCCGCCCCTCCCCGTGACGGCCGGGGGCGCCTGCCGGGTTGGGCTTTGCTTGACCTCACCTGGAGCCAGGGTCAGAGCTCGGGAGGTGGGGACCTGAGGCCCACCCGGGTTGGGGAGGGCGGGGGCCTCCTGGCATGCATGTGGTGGGCGGCCTCGTGTTTCCCAGAGGCTGGAAGGCTTCAGGGGACCCCCGGAAACCCAAGGACCACGCCCTGCTGTGGACCCCGGTTGGGTGGAGCCCAGAAGTGTTCTCAGGCCGGCAGGACAGGGCCCAGGAAAGGTGCACCGGGCCGCCCCAGCATCCCGTCTTAGACCAGGCTTGTCTTCCATGTCTGGGCCAGCCTCAGGCCTGACTGGGGCCCGGGCTGCCCCTGGGGGACCCTTCCCAGCAGGGGAGCAGCGCCCTGTGCTCTGGCCTGGCATCAGCCCCCGGGACCCCTGAGAGCCTGGATTGCCTGTGTGTGTGAGGACTTGGGGTCAGGGATAGCAGCCCAGGGGTTGACCTCAGAACAGACCGCAGCTCCTGGCTTTGCTGTTGTTTTCTTTTTGTCTTTTTGATTTTTTTGTTTTGTTTTGGTCTTTTTGACACAGGGTCTTGCTCTGCAGTCCAGGCTGGCCTTGAGCTCACTTTGTAGCCCAGGCTGGTCTCGAGCTCACAATGACCCTCCTGCCTCAGCCTCCCGAGTGCTGGGATTGCGGGCGTGCACCACTATGCCCGGCAATGCCTCCTGGCTTTGGGGGGTGCCATGTAGACTGTGGGCTTCACCCCACAGAGCTCAGGCAGGAGCGGACCCATTAGGATGGCCGTTGGCGAGGCAGGTGTTTGGGTTAGGCTTGGGCTGCATTGGGGTCAGGGTCAGGGTCAGGGTCAGGGTCAGGCGTGTGTCTCCAGGTCCCGGGAAGGGTCCCCCCAGGGCGCGCTCACCCCTGTTACCCGCAGGTCCAGGCTCAGCTGCAGCTGGAGGGCGTGGCACACGCGCACCCGCACCTGCACCCGCACCTGGCGGCGCACGCGCCCTACCTGATGTTCCCGCCGCCGCCCTTCGGGCTCCCGATCGCATCCCTGGCCGAGTCCGCCTCCGCCGCCGCCGTGGTGGCCGCGGCCGCCAAGAGCAACAGCAAGAACTCCAGCATCGCCGACCTGCGGCTGAAGGCGCGCAAGCACGCCGAGGCCCTGGGGCTCTGACCCGCCGACCCCGTGCAGGAGGAGGAGGAGGAGGAGGAGGAGCAGCGGGGACCCCGCCCCGGCCGGTCCCCACCCCGGGCAGCACGACCCTCGCGGACACCCTGGGGAGGCGCGTGGGAACCGGGCCTTTGCGCCACCCCGAGCTAGTGTGCTCCCTGGGCGCGTCCCGGGACCCAGTGCCAAGGGGACCCCCGCCCTGCTGCTGGCAGAGGGGCCCGAGCCTGTGCATGCGGTACCTCCACACCTTTGGAAGAGCCCAGCGTATAGCAACGGGAACCCGGACACACCCTGGGGCTGGTCTCCACGGGAAGAGCGCGTTTCTACGGCTCTAACTTTCGTGGCTGCGATTTTCGTGGCTGGGAGTTTCGTGGCTGGGACTTTTGTGGCTGAGGAACCGGTGTGAATCTGAATGTGGACATGGACATCCCCGCCCCAGGAGGAGGAGGAGGAGGAGGAGGAGGAGGAGGCAGGGCTGTTCCCCCCTTCCTCTCCCCCACCCTAAGTGCAGCAATAAGCAAATGCCCACGAGGCTCCGGAGCTAGTTGGAGAGGGAGGGTTGGGGGGAGGATCCCCAGCACGCCTCGAATTCTAGTGGCACCCGGATCCCCACACGCACACATGTGGAAGGCCGCAGTGCCACGCGTGCCGGCCCTGACGGGAATTCCTGGTGCCGTGGGTTAGGCGCCCGTGTAACTCTGCAGCCTGTCCTGGATTCCTCCCGCAGGGACTCCGGGCTCACACCTGGGGAGGGCCACGGGGGCGTGGAGGAGGCTGAGGCAGGAGTAGACTTTAGTGAGACGCAAGAGAGACACAGCAAAGTGCAATACTGTACATAGCATAGATTTAACGAGCAGAGGGCAGAAGGGCATTATTACCTCTCCTGCATGTCGCGGCCTGGCCGCGCGTGGGCGGTGGGTGGGGGGGTGGGGCACGGTGCAAGCTGCCCGGGCGTGGAGCCGGAGCCGGGGCGGCCCTGGGGTGAGCTGCTGGCTTCTGGGCCGGTTCGCTCTGCCCCGGGCTGAGAGGCCCAGCCTGGCGGGGCCTTCGCTTTTGCCTCCGCCTCCACCCACCCGGGTTCCTGGGGTGTCTGGAGTTTGTGTCACACAGCCCTGGCCAGGCGGAGTCTGTCTGAGCCGGGTGGGCCGGCGGGCGGGCCGTGGGGGCTCCGTTTCCAAAATAATTAAAGACAGGTTTGGATCTCCCTGGACTTGGCGTTGGCCATACTGTTTTCTTACCCCACGCTGTGGTACCTCTCGGAGACAAGAGGCGGCTGCATGCATCTCCCCGACATGCGGGGGAAGCTGCCGCCTTCCTGAGCAGTGCCAGGGGGATGCCTTGGGTACTGGGATGTGCACCCAGGGCCTTTGCGCTGAGCGGATGTCCACAGCCCTTTCTTGTTTCTTTTAAAAATTTGAGACCAGCTCTTGCTAAGTGGCCCGGGGCTGGGTTGGAACTTGACATCCTCCTGCCTCAGCCTCCCAGAGTGCTAGGGTCAGGCATGCACACCAGCAGTCCCGTGTCCCTCGGCCTCCGACGGCTTTGAAATTTTGCTACTGCTCCGAAGCTACGCAGACCAGAAGGGCAGCGTTTTTGAGTCAATGGACACGCCCGCCTGCAGCATGAGTGTGCGCGTCTCCTACTACAGTTTTGCTTTTAATTTTTAATTGTTTGGGGGGGAGAAAGCCAAGGTACCACTGGGTACCCTCCCCAGGCCTGGTCCTGTTTGATTTCTGCACAGCCCTGAATAAAAACCGGCAGCGTCCAGCGGCCGTGGGAAAATTTCCTGTCCCTTCGGCGCTGCCTCCGGGGTCCGGCCGAACCCGCTGGCCGTGCTGTGGGGACGTGGGGTGGCCAGACCCGCAGCGGTCTTAACCTGCACCTCTGTGCCCGGCTGGAGGGTCCCAGCCTGGCATGTGGTGGGTACAGGCAGCTGTAGGTCGCAGAGGCCGGGCCCTGCTCTTTGGGGTGCGGGGACCCCGCCTCACACAGCTCCTCTGTCTCCTGCAACCTTCGGGAAGAAAAACCCAGCAAATCTGACCTTCAGCCTCACCGCATTCATTCCGTTTCCCTGGTTTTTAAAAATTGTTCTTTGTGCAGCCGGGGACGTCGGCTTCCCACCCCGGGCCCGGGTCACCCACCCAGGCGGCGTGTGAGGGCTCCGGTGGGCCGGGTGAGGGTGTCTTGGCTGTGCGTGGCGCTTTTTGCTACAAAAACAAAAACCCCCAAACACAGAGAAGCAAGGTGTGCCGGGCACCCTGTGCGCGGGTCGGGCTTGGGTCGGGAGGCCGTGCCCGCCACCCCCGGCCGGCCGTCAGGAAGCAGCGCTTTTCCCCCAGAACATCCCGGACCCGGGGGGTGGGGGACTGCTTGGCTCAGCGGAGCCCTGGCTCCCCGGGTTTCTGGGCTCGGTGTACCCCGACTCTGAGAGGCCTGGGCCCAGCCTGCTGGGCAGTGGGCAGCGGGTAGCGGGTCCGCTGTGGGTGTGCGGGGTGAGGCCGGGTTTCTGAGCCATGCGTGCTTTGCCGGAAGCTCAGCTGTGCATGTTGCTGAACTCAGAGAATGCATCTTCCCTCTTCTCACGCCGGCTTCCTCCGGGAGGCCGCAGGGATGTGGTCAGCGCCTCCATCTGCGGGACTTCTGCGTCCAGTGTACCCATGCGCCGGGGTGGGAGCCCTGGGCCCGGTCCGATGGTGGCCACAGCTCCACAGGCCGGGGCTCCGGGGTTCCCTGGTTTCTGCGAGACCCCCTCCCGCACCGTGAGCGAGGGTACCGTTGTGGTCACTGCTGGGCCGGGGGCGGGAGGGGCAGCTTCCAGAGAGTGGCCAAGGAGGAGCCGGAGGACGGGCGTGTGACCGCCACACGCACTGCCCTTGTCGGGGCATTAGAGCTGAAGGCGTTCTGCCGAAATGCGTTCCTTTCTGCAAATCTGGGAGGTCCAGGGGGGTCGAGGGAGTAGGAGATATTTTCTGAGGACGGGTTGCATGTTTTAAAAACTGATGCCTAAGTTACTAAGAAGGGGAAAAAGACAGAAACAAGGAAAGAAAGAAAAGAAAGAGGAAGGAAGGAAGGAAGGAAGAAACAAAGAAAAAAAGAAAGAAAGAAAAATAAAGGAAAGACAGAAAGAAAGAAAAGGAAGGCAGGAAGGCAGGAAAGAAGGAAAGAAGGAAGGAAGGATGGATAGCCTAGTTTCCTGCACATCCCCGTTTCCGAGTGGGGACGGCGGTGGTGGGTGTGATGCTTCCGTGTTTTACGCAGAGCTGATATTTAACGAGAAGTGGGTCGAAGAATGTAGCCGTTTCGGACCTGCGAAAGAAACTATTTCTTGAAGGAAAAGGGGAAGAATTGACAGTTTCCACTCCTGCGTGTGTTCGGCTCACTTCGGATGTGTGTGGATGTGTTATTTATTTTTTATTTTTTAGTTTTGTTGTGGGTCCCCGTCCCTAAAGATGTGCTATTTTAATGATGCCGAGTGTAAATTTGATATTGCGTGGCATTTACTTTTATATTTCTCAAGCTCCTTGCTTTTTTTTTTCCTTCTTTTTTTCCTCCTTCTCCTCCCCCTCCCCACTCCTCTCCGCCGATTTATGAGCAGCTAGAATGATTTACGGCACAGCCTGGGATTTCTGCACACACGTTTTCAGGGATGGCAAAAATGTAAAGAAAGAACGAAACTTTTCCGAAACCCACAGTCTTGGAAGGAAAAAAAAAATGCATTATTCCTTCTGCTATGGTGGGACATGCAGGGGAAGCATTTGGAAAAGTTTCTTTTTGCTGTTGTTTCGTTTGGTTTGGGTTTATTTTTCTGGCCTGCACGCATCCGGCCGTCCCCGGCTGCCTCAAGGTCCAGAGATGGCAACGTGTATTTCGTCAGACGATGTAGTTTGAATGTACATCTTGTAAAGCTGAGATATAAATAAACTTATAAATATTTGTATTCAAGTGTTAAAAAAAAAACAAACCCTATGCTCACCTTTCTTCCCTACGCTCTGGGGGCACCCGGGCCTCTGTTCCTCTTTACTCGGCTTGTGTTTTGTTTTTTTTTTTGTTTTTTGACTCAGGATCTCACTGTGTAGCTCAGGATGGCCTCAAACTCACAGAGACTCTCCTGCCTCAGCCTCCCAAGGGCTGGGATAGCAGGCGTGTGCCACTGCGCCTGGATGAAGAAAATCAACTTTTAAAAGTGTTTATTTTTTTCCTCCTGTTGTCTTGAACGCTTCCTATCTCTTTGGAGGAAGAGGAGAAGGAGGAGGAGGAGAGAGGACTGGAGCTGGCTGTTGGGTGGATACTAAAACACGAATCCACTTCCCTCTCCTCCACACCTCTCGGCCCTGGGTGCCGCTGTTTCCTGTGGGATTTCCTGGGTCAGATCAGGATGTGAGTTTTTTGGGTCCCGGTCTCCGGTTGTGCACGTGGCAGGCTTTTCGGGCGGAGCGGGGTGGCGGCGAGCTTCTCCAAGTGCCCGAGTGCAATGCAAAAGCAGCCTTGCGGCTCTGGCTTCTGGCTTCTGTGTTCTCAGACTCCCGGAGGCTTCGAGCTCTGCCCGCCTTTTGCGTTCAATCACCCAAAGCCCGGGGATTTGAAGAAAAATGCGGGAATAGAAAAACACCCGGCAACCAGGAACGCAGGGAGAAATGAGATTTGCAAAGCGGTTGCAGACGGCACAGTAAAAGACAGAAAGAAAAGTGGCCCTCTCAAACCGTGCCAACGTAGCCGCGTCCGGGAGCGAGCAGAGACCAGCAGCAAAATACCGCCGAGCTCGCTGCCGCGCTGTTAGGTCCCAGGTTTTTATTTCTTCCCTTACTTTTATTTCTTTTGTTTGAACTCGGAGCGTTTTGGACGTAAAGGAAAATGCACAGCGTGTGTTGCTCAGTCCCACCCACCTGTGTGAGAAGACGTAGAGGATTTTTTTTACATAACTGAGTGGAAGTAAAGAGATTTTCTTGGGGTGTTCGACTTTTCAACAAGGGGAAATTGCTAAATATGCTCGCAGGTTCCAGCCTGGCCTCTCTCTGCTGCAGTTCTGTCGGGGTAAAATCCGCAGGTGTTTTTGCAGAAATCGAACAGGACGACGCAGGACACGGGCCAGCCGTGCAGTGCACACGGCAGACACGGTGCAGCCGGACACAAGCACGGGCTCCTGCCGCTCACAGACCCCGCCGAAAGCTGCCTGGAGCCCCGTCCCGGGCGCAGTCAGGAGCAGCAGGGCCAGGAGCTCCGGGAGGTGGTGTCGGGGTGATGCAGGGGCCCCAGGCAGGGCGCTGCGGTCTGCGGAAGCCGTTTGCTTCCCTCCTGCATTCTCCGGAGAAGGGAGTGCTCAGAGAGACCAGAGGGCTGCTAGGACCCCGGCCACCCG